CCATCCCTTTATGACTACAGTGTCATAATCTTCTGATGGCTCCTTCCAGCAGGATAATGCACCATGTCACAAAGCTCAAGTCAGAATACCATGTTTGAATGCACAACACATCAAAGTTTGAAGCAGATGGGTTATAGAAGCAGAAGACCACACAGGGTGCCACTCCTGTCAGCTAAAACGGGAAACAGAGCTTACAATTCGCACAGGTTCACCAAAATTGGACAACAGAAGATTGCAAAAACGTTTCCTGGCCTGATGAGTCTCGATTTCAGCTGAGACATTCAGATGGTAGGGTCAGAATTTGGCATAATCAACATGAAAGCATGGATCCATCCTGCCTTGTATCAACGGTCCAGATTGGTGATGGTGGTGGTGGTGTAATGATGTCGGAGATATTTTCTTGGCACACTTTGGGTTCTTTAGTACCAATTGAGCATTGTCTAAATGCCACAGCTACCTGAGTATTGTTGCTGACCATGCCCATCCCCTTTATGACTACAGTGTACCCATCTTTTGATGGCTTCTTCCAGCAGGATAATGCACCATGTCACAAATCTCAAGTCAGAATACCATGTTTGAATGCACAACACATCAAAGTTTGAAGCAGATGGGTTATAGAAGCAGAAGACCACACCGGGTGCCACTCCTGTCAGCTAAAACAGGAAACAGAGCTTACAATTCGCACAGGTTCACCAAAATTGGACAACAGAAGATTGCAAAAACGTTGCCTGGCCTGATGAGTCTCGATTTCAACTGAGACATTCAGATGGTAGGGTCAGAATTTGGCATAATCAACATGAAAGCATGGATCCATCCTGCCTTGTATCAACGGTCCAGATTGGTGGTGGTGGTGTAATGATGTGGGAGATATTTTCTTGGCACACTTTGGGTTTTTTAGTACCAATTGAGCATTGTCTAAATGCCACAGCTACCTGAGTATTGTTGCTGACCATGTCCATCCCTTTATGACTACAGTATACTCATCTTTTGATGGCTCCTTCCAGCAGGATAATGCACCATGTCACAAAGCTCAAGTCAGAATACCATCTTTGAATGCACAACACAACAAAGTATGAAGCAGATGGGTTATAGAAGCAGAAGACCACACCGGGTGCCACTCCTGTCAGCTAAAGACGGGAAACAGAGGCTACAATTTGTGCAGGTTCACCAAAATTGGACAACAGAAGATTGCAAAAACGTTGCCTGGTCTGATGAGTCTCGATTTCAGCTGAGACCTTCAGATGGTAGGGTCAGAATTTGGCATAATCAACATGAAAGCATGGATCCATCCTGCCTTGTATCAACGGTTCAGGTTAGTGGTGGTGTAATGATGTGGGAGATATTTTCTTGGCACACTTTGGGTCCTTTAGTACCAATTGAGCATTGTCTAAATGCCACAGCTACCTGAGTATTGTTGCTGACCATGTCCATCCCTTTATGACTCCAGTGTCCCCATCTTCTGATGGCTCCTTCCAGCAGGATAGTGTTCCATGTCACAAAGCTCAGACCATCTCAAACTGGTTTCTTGAACATGACAATGAGATCACTGTACTCCAATGGCCTCCACAGTCACCAGATCTCCATCCAATAGAGCACCTTTGGGATGTGGGGTAACGGGAGATTCACGTCATGAATGTGCAGCAGAAAAATCTGCAGCAACTGTGGGATGCCATCATGTCAATATGGACCAAAATCTCTGGGGAATGTTTCCAACACCTTGTTGGATCTATGCCATGAAGAATTAAGGCTGTTCTGAAGGCAAAAGGCGGTCCAACCCGGTACTAGCAAGGTGGACCTAATAAAGTGTCCGGTGAGTCGATGTGTCCTTGGCCTGCACCCACCTCCCAGCATTTAGAACCTCCTAAAGGGCCAGAAGGCTGTGGTGGGAAGAGGTTAATTATACTAATGAAAGCGTGCTTGTTATATCTGTATTTGTTGATCCTGCCAGCAATCTAGTGAGCTGATAACTTCCTGTGCTCTCTGCTGCACTCTCAGCAGCTACATTGTTTCCAATTCTCTCTCTCAATGTTATGGGGAAGAGGAAGGGTGTGTTCCGTAGTCTTGTCCTAGTGTGACAACCAGGGCTTTTCTTCTCAGAGAATATGTGCAGGAACTTTGTCCTGAGTTACTATTGTCTACCCCCCTACCCACCTTCAAGTACTGTTCCTTGGTGTCACCCCCTACCCACCTCCCAGTACCGCCCCTTTTAGAGAATACAAAACCAAATATAATGTTATAGTGACAATTAATTTGTATGGAATTTGTTAATGATAACACGAAAAACAGTGAAATAGATCCACTGCAGGCAAGAAGACACCCCCAACCAGCAACAATAGATCTCCCCAGCAACAACAGATTCACCCCAACAACAACCATATCCCCCAGCAGCAACAACAGATCTCCCAGCAGCCAGCATCAATAAACCCCTCCCTCAACAGTAGATCTCTCCAGCAAAAAAGTATTCCCCCCAGAAACATAAGACCCCCAGGAACAATAGATCAACAAGCAGCAGCAACAGAACTTCACCCAGTAACAATAGATCACCATGCAAATATAGATCCCCCAGCAACAATAGATTTCCCCAGCAAGAACAGATTCACCCCAGCAACAAAACCCCCAGCAGCAACAACAGATCTCCCAGCAGCCAGCATCAATAAACCCCTCCCTCAACAGTAGATCTCTCCCAGCAAAAAAGTGATCCCCCCAGAAACATAAGACCCCCAGCAACAATAGATCAACAACCAGCAGCTACAGAACTCCACCCGGCAACAATAGATCACCATGCAAATATAGATCCCGCCAGCAACAATAGATCTCCCCAGCAACAGCAGATACACCCGAGCAACAAAACCCCCCCAGCAGCAACAATAGATCTCCCAGCAGTCAGCATCAAGAAACCCCTCCCTCAACAGTAGATCTCTCCCAGCAAAAAAGGATCCCCCCAGATCCATAAGACCCCCAGCAACAATAGAGCAACCAGCAGCAACAGAACTCCAAATGGCAACAATAGATCACCATGCAAATATAGATCCCCCAGCAACAATAGATCTGTCATCAGTGAGCATAAATAGACCTTCCAGCACACCCCAGCATTCCTTGCTATTACATACATTCAGTGCTGGAGGCGCCAGAACTGCATCCCCTCATGTTCCTGCTGAAAAAAAGCCCTGGTGACAACAATGCTCCTTCATAGATACAGTACAGTGGGATTGTTGTCACCCCCAGACAGGAAATGTGTTATTAGCAGGATCACCAAGTAAAAATAAAGGGAAAAAAAAACTAGAAAAGGAAAACTAATGCAGCCAACACATGTAAGGATAGTAAGCTGCAGCATATATACTATTTTTGTCCTTGGGATTAGATGCAGTTTAAAAACAAACAATCAATAAACACACATTTACACACATTCTGTCCAAATAACAAATATCAATGATGATGAGGACATCCTGGCACTTGTAGTCATAAAATTCTCTTCTCTCTGGCACTATTGAGTCAATCACCATTTCAGATTGAACCTGCCAATGGTTTTCTGATTAGTGTTAATTGTCAAACGCTGGAGGCTAAGGGGGGTGGTAAAAAAAAAGCCAATGGTGATTCAGCATCTATGCATAACCAAACTATAAGAGCAGCTTCACACTACCCCGTGCAGTCCCGCAGTGCTTTAGACCAGGGGTCGCCAAACTTTTACTGTCCTTCAGACTTTATGGGTGCCAAACTGTGGCCATTGGGAGTAGAAACGGTTCAGGTCAGTGGGAAACAGCAGTGCCCCATCATTGGTGTGGGATCATTGGTGTTGAGGAATAGTGCCCCATCATTGGTGTTGGAGGAATAGTGCCCCATCATTGGTGTTGGAGGGAGGGATAGTGCCCCATCATTGGTGTTGGAGGGATAGTGCCCCACCATTGGTGTCAGTGGGAGGAATAGTGCCCCATCATTGGTGTTGGAGGAATAGTGCCCCACCATTGGTGTCAGTGGGGGGAATAGTGCCTCATCATTGGTGTCAGTGGGGGGAATAGTGCCCCATCATTGGTATCAATAAGAGGAATAGTGCCCTATCACTGGTGTCAGTGGATAGAATAGTGCCTCATCATTGGTGTCATTGGGAGGAATGGTGCCTTATCATTGGTGTCAGTGGGAGGTATAGTGCCCCATCATTGGTGTTAGAGGAATAGTGCCTCATCATTGGTGTCAGTGGAAAGGATAGTGTCCCATCTTTGGTATCAATGAAAGGAATAGTGCCCCATCATTGGTATCAATAAGAGGAATAGTGTCCTATCACTGCTCTCAGTGTATAGAATAGTGCCTCATCATTGGTGTCAGTGGGAGGTATAGTGTCCCATCTTTGGTATCAATGAGAGGAATAGTGCCCTTTCACTGGTGTCAGTGGATAGAATAGTACCTCATAATTTGTGTCAGTGGGAGGAATACTACCCTTTCACTGGTGTCAGTGGAATAGTGCCTCATCATTGGTGTCAGTGGGAAGGATAGTATCCCATCTTTGGTATCACTGGTCTAAGTGTGTAAAATAGTGCCTTATCATTGGTGTCAGTGGGAGGAATACTGCCCTTTCACTGGTGTCAGTGGGAGGAATAGTGTCTTATCAAATGTGTCAGTGGGAGGAATAGTGTCCCATTTTTGGTATCAATGAGAGGAATAGTGCCCTATCACTGTTGTCAGTGGATAGAATAGTACCTCATTATTGGTGTCAGTGGGAGGAATAGTGCCTTATCATTGGTGTCAGTGGGAGGAATAATGCTACAAAGCACAAAGGGGTGGTGTGAAGCCCACTGAAGGTTACAGTGACCCCTTAACGATGTTCAGAAATATGCGAAAACGAAAAAAGTGCATCCCACCCCAACCCAGGTTATCATATATTCTGCCCTAATTTGTAAATCCATTCTGGTAGCAGGAAAGAGCCATTCCCCTTTGCACTGATATTTAAAATAGCTTTTTGAACTTCCTAAATACAAATCTGAGATTTTAATAAACTGCAACGTTACCTTGCCAACGAAGATACTGGTGCCCCCTCGAGGGCGAACAGACTGTTTCCCGCGACCACTTGGGACCTCTGCATTTTCTGATCCGCCATTCAGGTAAGTGAGTTCCTGCAGCTGTGCCTGTCTAATTTCATCATTGTAGTCCTGTATGGGGAAGAGAACATTCAATAATGAGCCTGGACTTCTAGTCTGTATGGGGAAGAGAACATTCAATAATGAGCCTGGACTTCTAGTCTGTATGGGAAGAGAACATACAATAATGAGCCTGGACTTCTAGTCTGTATGGGGAAGAGAACATTCAATAATGAGCCTGGACTTCTAGTCTGTATGGGGAAGAGAAACATTCAATAATGAGCCTGGACTTCTAGCCTCTACAGGGAAGAGAACATTCAATAATGAGCCTGGACTTCTAGTCTGTATGGGGAAGAGAACATACAATAATCAGCCTGGACTTCTAGCCTGTATGGGGAAGAGAACATACAATAATGAGCCTGGACTTCTAGCCTGTATAGGGAAGAGAACATACAATAATGAGCCTGGACTTCTAGTCTGTATGGGGAAGAGGACATTCAATAATGAGCCTGGACTTCTAGTCTGTATGGGGAAGAGAACATTCAATAATGAGCCTGGACTTCTAGCCTGTATAGGGAAGAGGACATTCAATAATGAGCCTGGACTTCTAGCCTGTATAGGGAAGAGAACATACAATAATCAGCCTGGACTTCTAGCCTGTATAGGGAAGAGGACATTCAATAATGAGCCTGGACTTCTAGTCTGTATAGGGAAGAGAACATACAATAATGAGCCTGGACTTCTAGCCTGTATAGGGAAGAGGACATTCAATAATGAGCCTGGACTTCTAGTCTGTATAGGGAAGAGAACATACAATAATGAGCCTGGACTTCTAGTCTGTATGGGGAAGAGAACATTCAATAATGAGCCTGGACTTCTAGCCTCTATAGGGAAGAGAACATACAATAATGAGCCTGGACTTCTAGTCTGTATGGGGAAGAGAACATACAATAATGAGCCTGGACTTCTAGCCTGTATAGGGAAGAGGACATTCAATAATGAGCCTGGACTTCTAGCCTGTATGGGGAAGAGAACATTCAATAATGAGCCTGGACTTCAGTCTGTATGGGGAAGAGAACATACAATAATAAACCTGGACTTCTAGCCTGTATGGGGAAGAGAACATTCAATAATGAGCCTGGACTTCTAGTCTGTATGGGGAAGAGGACATTCAATAATGAGCCTGGACTTCTAGTCTGTATGGGGAAGAGAATATTCAATAATGAGCCTGGACTTCTAGTCTGTATTGCAGAGCCAAACGGTGAGCATTAGAGCAGAATGCAAGGCAAGAAATCATAATCTCAGGATTTCAGTCATATGCCCCATATATGGTACATGCCCTTCCCTTACTTCTGCAGACGCAAGCATCCTCCATGTACACAGTTCATCATTTCATCCTCCAACAGGTGCGGACTGACCACTTGGAAACTCGGGCACTGCCCGAGGGCCCGGGGTCAGTAGGGGGCCCCATGAGATGCCCCTGGTACCTTTTTCATAGGCTTTTTTGAGATTGGGCAAGGACACAGGGGTCCCATGATCTCCTATTGCCCGAGGGCCCATGAGTTGTCAGTCCGCCCCTGTCCTCCAACTTAGCAGCAGAACAGCACTACAGAACACCTCCCCCTTATGTTATGAAGAGGAGGAGAAGGGAGTGTCCGGTAGTCCAGCATTGGAGGACTCAGGCAGGTCTGACAACACTGCTTGGTATTTCAGTGCAGAAATTGCACTGTGTTGTCAGCTCAAACAGAAAATTAAGAGCTTATTTTTGGATTTTATGGAAATCAACATGTATTTATTTATTTCAGGTGAAACTCGAAAAATTAGAATATTGTGCAAAAGTTCATTTATTTCAGTAATGCAACTTAAAAGGTGAAACTAAGACTCATTACATGCAAAGCAAGATAGTTCAAGCCGTGATTTGTCATCATTGTGATGATTATGGCTTACAGCTCATGAAAACCCCAAATCCACAATCTCAGAAAATGAGAATATTCCATGCAATCAATAAAACAAGGATTGTACATAGAACAATATCAGACCTCTGAAAAATAGAAGCATGCATATGTACTCAGTACTTGGTTTGGGCCCCTTTTGCAGCAATTACTGCCTCAATGTGGCGTGGCATGGAAGCTATCAGCCTGTGGCACTGCTGAGGTGTTATGGAAGACCAGGATGCTTCAATAGCGGCCTTCAGTTCTTCTGCATTGTTCGGTCTCATGTCTCTCATCTTTCTCTTGGCAATGCCCCATAGATTCTCTATGGGGTTCAGGTCAGGCGAGTTTGCTGGCCAATCAAGCACAGTAATCCCACGGTCATTGAACCAGGTTTTGGTGCTTTTGGCAGTGTGGGCAGGTGCCAAGTCCTGCTGGAAAATGAAGTCAGCATCCCCATAAAGCTCGTCTGCGGAAGGAAGCATGAAGTGCTCCAAAATCTCCTGGTAGACGGCTGCGTTGACCCTGGACTTAATGAAAGCACAGTGGACCAACACCAGCAGATGACATGGCTCCCCAAATCAACACAGACTGTGGAAACTTCACACTGGACTTCAAGCATCTTGCAGTGTGTGCCTCTCCATTCTTCCTCCATACTCTGGGTCCTTGGGCCTCTCCATTCTTCCTCCATACTCGGGGTCCTTGGGCCTCTCCATTCTTCCTCCATACTCGGGGTCCTTGGGCCTCTCCATTCTTCCTCCATACTCTGGGTCCTTGTGCCTCTCCATTCTTCCTCCATACTCGGGGTCCTTGGTTTCCAAATGAGATGCAAAAGTTGCTCTGATAAGAAAAGAGGACTTTGGACCACTGAGCAACAGACCAGGTCTGTTTTTCTTTATTCCAGGTAAGACACTTCTGACGTTGTTTGTTGTTCAGGAGTGGCTTGACAAGAGGAATACGACATTTGAAGCCCATGTCCAGGATCCATCTGTGTGTGGTGGCTCTTGATGCACTGACTCCAGCCTCAGTCCACTCCTTGTGAAAGTCCCCAACACTTTTGAATGGCCTTTTCCAGGCTGCGGTCATCCCTGCTGCTTGTGCACCTTCTTCTTCCACACTTTTCCCTTGCACATAACTTTCTATTAATGTGTTTGATACAGCACTTTGGGAACATCCAACTTCTTTTGCAATTCCCTTTTGAGGCTTTCCCTCCTTATGGAGGGTGTCAATGATGGTTTTCTGCACAACTGTCAGGTCAGCAGTCTTTCCCATGATTGTGATTCCTACTGAACCAGACTGAGAGACCATTTAAAGGCTCAGGAACCCTTTGCAGGTGTTATGGCTTAATTAGCTGATTAGAGTGGAACACTTTGAGCCGAGAATATTGCACCTTTTCACAATATTCTCATTTTCTGAGATTGTTTTGGATTTCATGAGCTGTAAGTCATAATCATCACAATTATGACAAATCACGGCTTGAACTATCTTGCTTTGCATGTAATGAGTCTATCTCATATATTAGTTTCACCTTCTAAGTTGCATTACTGAAATAAATGAACTTTTGCACAATATTCTAATTTTTCGAGTTTCACCTGTATAGCGCCGTCAATTTACGTAGCACTTTACATATATGCTTGAGGGCCCGGGGTCAGTAGGGGGCCCCATGAGATGCCCCTGGTACCTTTTTCATAGGCTTTTTTGAGTTTAGGCAAGGACACAGGGGCCCATGATCCCCTATTTCCCGGGGGCCCCATGAGTTGTCAGTCCGCCCCTGGTCCCTAACCCTCAAGGGGCGTACAATCTAAGGTCCCTAACTCACATTCATACTAGGGACAATCTAAACAGGAGACAATTCACCTACCAGCATGTCTTTGGAGTGTGGGAGGAAACTGAAGTACCAACTCACACAGGCACAGGGAGAACATGCAAACTCCAGGCAGGTGGTACCATGGTTGGGATTTGAACCAATGCCCCTAGTACTGTCAGGCTGAAGTGCTAACTATTTAGCCACTGTGCTGCCCCTATTTTCTGTACTTGCAGCTTTTTTAAAAAGATAAAACCAGAGCCTTTTTTTTTCAGCAGGAACGCAGAGGAACGTATTTGCGGCACCTCCAACACTGAAGTTATGTAGTGGCAAGGGGTGCTGGGGTGTGCTGGAGGGTCTATGGCTGCTGGCGGATCTATTGTTGCTGGAGGGTTTCTATTTTGAGTAGGGAGTCTATTGTTGTTGGGGGATCTATTGTTGCTGGAGGGGATCTATTTTTGAGTAGGGAGTCTATTGTTGCTGGGAGATCTGTTGTTGCTGGTGGGGAATTGATTGTTGCTGGGAGGGTCTTATGTTGCTGGCGGTTCAGTTGTTGCTGGGAGGAATCTACTGTTGAGGGAGAGGTCTATTAATGATGGTTGCTGGGAGATCTGTTGTTTCTGTTGAGGGTCTATTGTTGCTGGGGTAGTATTGTGTTGTGGTGGGGGTCCATTGTTGCTGGGGGGTCTATTATTGTAGAGGGGATATACTGTTACTGGAGGTGGTCTATTGTTGCTGGGGCGTCTATTGTTGCTGGGATAGAATTTTGTTGTGGTGGGGGTCCATTGTTGCTAGGGGGGTCTATTATTGTGAAGGGGATATATTGTTACCGGAGGTGGTCTATTGTTGCTGGGGGGGTCTATGTGTTGCTGGGGTAGTATTTTGTTGTGGTGGGGGTCCATTGTTGCTAGGGGGGTCTATTATTGTGAGGGGATATATTGTTACCGGAGGTGGTCTATTGTTGCTGGGGGGGGTTATTGTTGCTGGGGTAGTATTTTGTTGTGGTGGGGATCCATTGTTGCTGGGGGGGTCTATTATTGTAGAGGGAATATATTGTTACTGGAGGTGGTCTATTGTTGCTGGGGGGTCTATTGTTGCTGGGGTAGTATTTTGTTGTGGTGGGGGTCCATTGTTGCTAGGGGGGTCTATTATTGTAGAGGGGATATATTGTTACTGGAGGGGGGTCTATTGTTGCTGGGGGGTCTATTGTTGCTGGGGTAGAATTTTGTTGTGGTGGGAGTCCATTGTTGCTAGGGGGGTCTATTACTGTAGAGGGAATATATTGTTGCTGGGGGGTCTATTGTTGCTGGGGTAATATTTTGTTGTGGTGGGGGTCAATTGTTGCTAGG